ATTTTTTTTTATTATTGACATATATTTAATTTTAAAACTTTATATAATTTAGCTTTTAATAAAAAGTAGAAGAAAATGTTATACGCTAAAATTTCAATTGGGCGATTATTATAGCTTTAAAGCAATTGGTTTTGCTTTATTGTATTATAATACTCCTTAAGAATTTTTAGATATAATTCTATCGCTCTTCCCAATTGCTGGAATTTCTGTAGAGACTGAAACTAATAGTTAAAATAACTCGTAGAATTAGATATTTAAAAAGGTAAAAAAAGTATTATAGCAGAAGTCTTAGAGAAACAAAATTACAGGAAATCAAATCGCTAATGCCACAATTTCCAATCGATCCTGAAATATATAAATTTAAAAATAAATAAATAAGCTTTTCAGAACCGGAATTACTGGTCTGGTCAATTACTTTATAAGGGTGCATGGAAATAATTCAATTGATGCAGAAAGTTTAGCTCTTTATATTCAATTCAAATGTTCCTCGCCGTCATCTTTGGTAAGTGTCTTTAAAGTCACAATCAGAAAAGATAGTCCTATAAATGCTTAATGAAATCTTTGCTGAGATTATACATTGCTAATTCTACATCAAAATCTATAAAACTGTACATTTAGAGACTTAAAATTTTGCACCGGAATTTGGATTTGGTGTTAAATTTGCAATATTTATAAAAGTGCTCGGATAGTGTGTTTAACGTCATTGGTTGATTCTCATATCGTGTTGCGTCGAGGAACAGTATGGTTTGTGTGCATATTTTTTTATTTTTATTGTTTTGCAAGGCGTATTTTAATAATTTTGATCAATTGTAAATAGTGTCGCGTATCGTTTAAGATATTTCTATCATGGTTTCTGAATTTATGGCCTTTGCATAAGTATGATGCTGACCTTTAAAGAAGTGTTAGAAAATTTTATTTCAGAACCTCCAAACATTTTTCCCTTGTCGAAATCTTTCAGATGTATAAGCTCATGATATTGGAAATCCTGATGTTCATCATGTATTACTTTGGAATATGTTAACTATAGAATTAAGAGGATCATTTGCAAGAGGATTAGAAGATACTTCAATAGATGCATCATCTGAACGAGATATTAAATTAATCAAGTTCACAAAATTCATCAATATGTCGTGATGAAAGAAAAGCTAAGGTTCGGAAAATGCTTTCCAATTTATGGTCGAGTTAGAGGTTTTGGAGAACTTATCAATGCTTAGCATGGATGAAATCACTGAAATGTATTGTTGAAATTACTCAACTGGACAAGCGTAGTTGCGTTATTAACGCTGGTGCTAATTATTATGATTGGTTAGTATATTCAATTGATTAAATTTACCAATAATTTGCGCAAAAGTCCAAACGTTAACAAACATCCATTTATTGACCGCGCTTACTTTAGGAGCAGCTTTGGTTCACAATGAGCCATCAACCTCTCCAATGGAGAGTTTTTTGATGATTTTTCAATTAATCATGGGCGCATCATGGGCGCATCGATTTCAATCATAACATTAGCTCCTATGATCCTTACCAAATTCATGTTAAAGATTAATGAAGGTTTGAAGATTTCACACATAATCTGAATTTGAGAATGATATTTCCTCATTTGGACGGCAATCTGGTCATTATTCACCTTTGGGTTCTTGGGGAGACTGATCCTACATATTATATAATTCAGGACTCGCAGGTGATCCTATCATGCAGCTAACATCAATTGGCTAGGTGCCATCAATTTCTTATTAGCATTATGAACACAAATTGCTTCGGAATTTTATCTTGAATCAAAAGATTAATAGGGCAGCATGTATTGTAGACACATCTTTTTTCTCTGAAATTGAACAACCTCAACCATCAATAATCTCAAGTTGTGTAAAGATTTTACCGTGAATTATTATTTGCGTGTTATGATAATTGTCGCGGTTCTATCTTGCTTATTTATAGGTGGAGAAAGGTTAAAACGTATTGAGAATAATGTTTATAGTATACCTTATGAAAGAGCTGGTTGTATGCTCCCCAATCATAACACTAGTACTCAAAGAATTATAAAAACTAGGACCATCGCAGCTGGTCTTCAAGCAAAAATTGTATTATGGTAGGAGTCAGCATTACCATATCATATTGTCCTGGATCTGATTCCTTGTCATCGATCTCTGCAATTTTAATGTCATCAGCCGCTTGGGTAGCTTCATTGGTATCTGAAGCCCCGAAAATTTCCGGTTACTCCACGTAATTCAAATTACATGTTCCAGTCAGTGAAGATATTGGCATTTCTGTGTTGAAAATGAAGACACAATAATCCATCCATCACCTTGTAGGAGCTTTTTTTTTTTCACTTGTCTTGAAATTTATTGTTTTAATTCTAATTAATAATGATTACGTCAATTGCTATCTAGCAATCCGATACCTTCACTTCGAAATGCTTTCTGATATTTAAACAAAGCGTGACCGTAACCGTTTTCAACATCTTGCACACCATAATTGTGTATGAAACCAGTTACAGATATTGTTTCTTATTTTATTTCTTCTTCACTTCCATTCTTACCATGTATAGTTACTTAAAAAAATGTTTAGTTGCTCGTTGTCAACAGATAAGAGAGAGAATTTTTTATGTGGTATTTGTAATATTAGTTATAGCAGGTGGATTGGCTGACTTTATATTAGAGAGGTAAATTCCATTGGAAGGATGCGGAACAAATATAGATAGATATAGATCCATATAGGAGATACATCAAGTTTAGAAAAACTAGCGCTTTTGGGTAAATGTTATAAAGAAGGATTGGTTTAGCAATAAAATCTATGACATAGATGGCAAAGGTAATACAATATTGATTAGGAAGACATAGACAAGAAGGAAATGACATAATAAAAATTAATTATACATAAGATTCGCGGTCTTCAAATTTCATTTTTTTTTTTTAGTAAAAAAAATCTTAGTTATAAGAGCCGATGATCAAAAAAAAAAAAAAAAAAAATCGATGATTTAGAACTCTTAACTCGTTGAGATAGGTAGTTTGTAGAGATAAATATGAGGAACAAACTCCTGCCAGTTATTTTGTTCCTTTAGAAGGAAATGAACTGTCATATTTTGTGAGTTCTATTAAAGAATCGGGAACTACAGTTGGCAAGCATAAAAAGCATAGATTTATTAAACAAATAAGAAAATGAAATTCCAAGTTATAGAGTTATCAAATGGTAATAAGTTGCAAATAATTTATTAGCTTTTCTTTCATTATTATTATAAATCATTAATAAATTTGTTTTATTATTCGTTTCCCCCCAAGTAAAGTGCAATTGACACAAATGTGTATGACACCTCGGAAAATATGATCGCACATAACGATAAAAATAATGCCAGAATTTTGAAAAAGGAACAGATACTCTCACATTTTACGCCGCTTGCGCTGCAGAGACATTTCTCCCCAACAATACATTTTCCTAGATAAGAAATCCCATTCGTCAACTTGACATAATTTAGAAAATTTAATTATCTCATACATATATATATATATATATACACCCACCAGTGCATTGCGTCGACCACAATAGATTTTAGACCCATTTTGCTCTCCAGCATGCTGAAAGATTATTAAACATCATCATATCCTTTAAGATCTTTACTAGAGTAGCCTGCCTGATGTTGCCGAATTACAGGAGCTAATTCATGATATTTGGATTCAACCTTTTCCAAATCTGACAAATTGCCAAAGCATCAACACCGACATTTTGCGGTCACCAATTCTACGACTTCAATCCTCGAACCTGCCACCTTTCATTCTCCCTCACTTCAGCCTGCCCCCATGGTACCCGTCGATATCATCCAATCTATCGAATCACCACCACCGTATTTTCAAATCGATGAAATGCTCGTACAACGTCTCAAAGAGGAAGAATATTTTTTTAATTCAAATTCCTCCCTATCAACTTACTCTTTCGATAAGGGATCTGTTATCAACGGCTAGGAAGAATCGTATTCAATTGACAGCACAAGATTAATTTTTGAGCAAATTGTCTCTAGGAATTGTCTTTGCAGGACGTGGTGATGTCTTGCTGTCGTGTTTCATAATGTATATATGCATTTGCATTATATACATTAGTTGGATTTAAAATTTTTAAGTTGTGCAATCATATTTGTCTTTATCTAAATCCTAGAATAGCAAAATGTGCTTGGGATTTCTAAGTGCTAAAGCTTGCCCTAGTGTATTCATTTAAAACCTTTACTAGATGATCGTGATGAAAGAAAAGATAAAGTTTTTGAATATGTATGCTTTCCAATTTATGATACAAAAGTTGGAGATTTTGGATGAAAACACGGATATGGATTGTTGCGTAATTGCTATTTATTGTAATTGGTTGGTTTTTAACACTTATGATCAAATCATTTTTATGTAGATCTCGATATCATTTAGTTAGTTCATAATGTATATCAAAAAAATTGGTTGAGAAATTTACAAGTAACTCCGAATTATATTTCTCTTATTCATTATAATGTATTAATGTTGTTCTTTAGATCATGGAGTTGTTAGATGGCGTCATTTGGGAGGTTTGCTATTAAAATCACGTTACGGATCATATATTAACGTGAAGCAAGTTCGAAGTTCTTTTCTAGCTGATTGATTTTTAATTGATTTTCGAATGTACAGTATTTAGTTCACCTTGTCATATTTCTCGGTGCTGAATTACATGTTCCGATCATGAAGATATTGGCATTTCCGGAGATTGGCTACTTGGATGGCTGAAAATGAAGACACGATAATTAATTTCATTTGTCTTGAAATTTACTTGTTAATTCAAACATTATATATTCCATTATTAAATAAAAATTTAGAGGGTAGAAGAATAGGATTAGAAAATAAGAGTTTATTGATTTATAAACGGTCTATAAAATACACTATAAAACTATAAAAAACACTATAATAAACACTATAATAAACATAACAAATATTATAAATTAATATAACTAACATAACTAGTATCTAACTATATCTAATAGCAATAGCTATTTACTACAGCCTCGTTTGGCAATATCCGCTCAACCTTTTTTCTCAAGTCCATTTCGATTGCCTAATTCTTTTCTAGAATCATTGTCTTCTGGTTCATTTTTAAAAAAGTTCCCAAACCTTTTTTCCTCCTTGATCTTCAACTTCTATCTTTCGAAAAGTTCTTTATTCATTTCGACAGTTTCATTATTTCAACTTCTTTCCAAGAAACCCATTATCTTCTGGTTCATCTTTTTCAATTTCTTTTTTTCTCCTCAAACTTTTCAACTTTTTCAACTTTTTTACAACCTTGTTCTTTTTCTTTATCTTTATTTCATTAATAACTTCATCCTCTTTATTGTAAATTTCGCCTTGAAAGGTATGATTTCTTTTTTGTTTATTTTGTTATTTTATTTTATGGTTGAAATAAGTTTTAAATATAAAATATTTTTACTATGAAAGTAAAGTGATATCAAAAATATATATTGTTAGGTATAAGGTTGGAAAAAGTGATAGTTATAGGTAAGGTCTGAGTTTGAGTTTCGGAAAATACATTCTTCGCGTTTATATTTTACAAAAAATAAATACAGACTAGTTAATTGATTGGCTAGTTTTGAAGCATAGGGGCATTTCTATTTCATTGGTTGATAATCATGTTGATCATCAAAATATAATTGGCAGGTATATCACATGAAAGTAGACTTTCACATGCTACTATGCTTATGCAGGCAAATTTGCCTGCGTTACAGACAAAGAAAATAATTGGTTTCGGAAATTAATTTTCTAGCATATCAAAAAAGTATAAGTAAAGAAACTTATGTTTCCTTAATTATTTGGAATTTGGTAACAATCACGTATTAAAAAAAATATAATAAATAATAAATTATTTTAAAAACCTTTTTTTTTAGCCTATCAATCAGTTTTTAAAAAAATCTTTTATTTTATTATAAAATTAAAACAAAATAATTTTTATATAATTATGTTAAATCATTAGATCATATAAGTTCAAATTAGTTTAAATAATAATTTAAGTAATAGGAATATGTTATTAATAAGATTTTGATATTTATTATTATTAAGATTTAATTACTTCTCTTGAAATATTTTTCATAAAACTTTTCTGTTTTTTAATAATAGAATATGTGTTTATATCTACTTTTCTAATTCATCTTATAAATTTTCTATTGAATTAAGATAAGAACTTTGTGTAAGTCAGAAAATACTATTCATTTTATATTTTCACTTTTCAATTTTAACAATCTTTGCAATATATATAAAAGTATTATCCTCTTAAAAAAAATAATTTTCTTGATTATCTAAACATTTTATAATATTTTATTTAAAATAAGATAAAATTTATAATCTAAATTTATTTATTTAAATAATTTATATATAATATATAATATATGATAAATAAATTTTTAACAATAAAAATTTTTTAAGTTTCTTAATTAATATTAATATTAAAAATAAGAAATAGAGAAATATGATACATTATGATAAATAAATCCTAATCTTAAATTTAATCTTAATTAACTTTAATTCTATGTCTAAATCTAATTTTAACTAATCCTAGTTCTATAGGTAGGTGAAATTTTATATTTAATCACCTAAATAAAAATTCATCTTAATCTTAAAATATATTTTTATTTTAATTTTTATTTTTTAAACTTGAAATTATATAATATATTTTTATAATATAATATTTATATCTATCTAATTAAAAAAATTTTAATATTTAGAGTACCTGTATGAAAAATCATTAAATGCATAATAATATTATACAAATTTTTTAAAAAAAAAATTTTTTTTTCAATAAAATTCAAGCTTAAATTTAAAATTAGTTGCATAAATTTTCATTTAGAAATTTATATAATATCATGTGATTTAATTCTATTGCAAAATAATAGGTAACAGCTAGTATAATATTATATTTAAATATTTTATATATTTATATTATTATAATTTAATTTTTACTAATATTACTATTATATATAAATTATTTTTAATTATATACATTCTTTTTAAATAATTAAATACTTTATATAATATTATAAATATTTATATTACAAACTTTTATTTAATTCTTTAATTATCTATCTATTTTATTATTATTATTTTTTTTATTTTTCTTCTTAATTTATAATTTTTTTTTTATTAAGTAATTTTTAATTTTATTTAGCATATTCTTTTCTTTAAAAGTTTTATAATCTAATTTATCTGCAATTTTATTTATTAATTAAAATAATTTAATTATATTAAATATTATTTTTAATTTTTAATAAAGTATTTTTTTTTTATAAAATTAACATAATAATTTAATTACTTTTTTATATATTAAAAAACTTTGTAAAGTATTTAAATTACATATATTACTAATTTTTAATATTTATATTTAAAAAACATCATATTATTTAAAGTTGAAAAAATATTATATATATTTTAATAATAAAGTATTATTTAAAAATAATAATAAAGAATTGCTATTTTATATAGGATGTTTAAATATTATATGAAACCTAAGAAGGTGATAAATAACATTTTTAGTATAAAAATTTTCTGTTTTCAGATTCATTAATAAAAATAAAATATAGTAAGATGTGATGTAGCGTGATAATAGTAAACATAATCTGTATACTAACACTAACTAATCTTAAACTAAATGCAACTTCATATCAAGAAATTTTATAATAAATTTTAACTAATAATTTAAAATATAAAAAATTTACATATAAATTATATTTAATTATTAAAAAATTCTTTATTTAATAATAATACATTTAAAATAAATTTTATATTTTTAATAGTGTCAATTTAGTAAAATAATTACCAAAAATCTTTAGCAATATTTTAAGTTAAATATACCAAAATACTAATATTTTAAAAGCATTGATTTAATTTATTTAATATTCTTATAATAAAAAAAATAGATCACAATAAAACATTACATTTATATCACTAATGACTTTATTATTATAATGTAATAAATTTTAATCATCAAAATGTTTACAACAAACTCAGCAATTAAAATCTCTTAGTAACAATGGTATTTAAAACAAAATAGACTAAAAAATTTGTCAAAATATAAAAAATAATTGAAGTTAAAAAATCTTACTTTTGCAATAAAGTGCCTTTATCAAGTCATTATAATTACATAGATTCCTTCTCATGATTGTTCATTTTATTATGATTTCTTTTCAAATTATTTTTTTGTTGCGAAACGTTGTCTTTATTAGCTATCGATTTCTCCGCATTTTCTTCTACAATTTTTTTGATTTTTTCAAACTTTTCGGTTATGATTTTTTGACATGATGTTGGAATTCCGTAAACTATATTATATTTCTTTTTTTTTTCAACATAGGTTTTATCAATTTTCATGATCTTTGTTGGTTGTTCCATATTGACAATGTTATTACTGAATTCCATTTCTTTTTGAGTACTAAATGATGATAAAGGAAATATTTTTGCCAGCCAATCTGCAGAACGATAGTTAAGATGTAACACAGCCATGGGGTTCCAATCAACAATTTTTGTCACGGTGGAAGGTTGATTTGTTGCATCCATGACATCATACCCGGTGGTGTAACCAATCTCCCTATTATCAGGCGTCCTTACTTGTTTGACTTCGAAATCTGGTTTATTCAGTAAAGCACTTTCGTCAACAATAATCCCTTTGAAAAAACAAGCAGTAATAGTTCCGGGTTTCCCATATAAAAATTGGTTTTGCTTATTTGGATGTTTATTAACAGGAAAAGGGACTTTGAATACACCATCATCTTTTTTATCAAATTGAGATGTGCTGGCGAATTTTAAGTAATAAGCTTTATTTCTTTCATAATTAACGAAGTACGATATTGATCTTGGGCTCTTTTGTTGGTGAAGATAATGAATTCCATTGTATTTCCCATCTATATATAAACGTGAAATGATAATGTTGGACGGGTTAGCTTGTTTGGCTTCAGTTCTAATAGTATAGCGTTCTCCCGGAGTCATAACTGGCACGTATGTTATAAAATTGCTTCAAGATGAAATGAAAGATGATAAATATCAATTTTTTTTTTTAAAAAAAAAAGTTACTATATATATATTTTTTATTTATTTAAAAAAAAAATTATCTATACTTGTGTCTTTCTGTTTGTGTTGATGGATCCGTAACATAAGAAACGCATGTGCTATTAAACTATTTATAATGCAATTAATGCATTTGTTTGTGAATAAATTAATAAATTTTCTTGTTTAAAAGAAATATTTAAACACTTGATTGTAATCTTACCTTAGATTTAACAGTCGAAAGATTGTATTCTGGTAAGGGTTGCCCATTTACTAAAACCTCAAGACAAAAATCTTGTAAATGCATTTCTGCATATCATTAAATAAGTTTTTAATGTCAGGAAAAACTTTATCCAAAGAGGATATTATTACTAAATTCAGTGTAATAAAACATATGGCTTACCAGTATAAATTTAAGATAATGAAAAAATCGACTTTGAAAAGCTTTATCTTGAGTTTGAAAGTTAAAAAGATTCAAATTAATATACTCGATCAAATGTTCGCTTTATCGAAAAATGCCCACAGGCACGTGATTTATTTATTTTGTCGATCATTAAGTACGTATTAATTAAAGCCAAAAAGAAATTTTTGAATGACGAGTCTTTTTTTCATTTAACGAGAACAAATGTCTGTCTTCAGTCTATATATGATCGCATGTCAATTAGAAAAGGGTAAATTTTGGTCAAAATATTTTAGAAACCAAAATTAGTCAAAATTTCACGCGATAGTATTAAAAACTAGGGTACGGACCGTTAAAGCAGTAAAGACCAATAGACCAAATTACCATTTGGTCTATTCATAATTTGTTAACAGACCATTGAATGACTCAGGTCTATTGAAAAATCACGTGATTAATAGCTTATTTCGTGAACGATCTTCGGAAATTTATGGAAATAAATGAATTTCATCACGTTATGGTTGCACAAAGCTCGTTAAATTAAAAAATGATCGGGAATCAATCTCGGAAATCTGCTTTTTTTTTAAAAAAAAAATAATTCTAGAAACGTTACTAACGTTTCCTTTTTCTTATTTCAGCTTTTTTTTGTCTCGGGTTGAGTATTAGTTTTATTTTTGGTAAACCTTGGGTTCAAACTTAGAAGGCATTTTTAAAAATTTTTTTTTTTTTTTTTTTAGAAATGTTAAATTGAACAATGATTTTCAAATACTTCATCGATCAACTATCCCCTTATTGATGGATTTTTCTGCGAAAGAAACTGTGGATATGGAACCTTACACAACTAATTTTGATGGTGACAATTCTCAGGACATAGTTATAGGTTTCCGTTTGTAGTCAATCATGGCCACTGTTAGTTCGGAACCTTTAAAAAACCAATTAATGACGAAAAGAAAAAAATATTCCTTAATACCAACTCTTGTTGATTGTTCCGATGGTCGTTGAACTCTGTGTACTCAAATGTGTGCTATAGATGATGGGAAGTTTTGTAATGATGATCAATACGAACTTGGTTTTAATTTTGCATGTGAAAAAGGTTTAATATAGTCAAATTGGAAATTGAGGTTTCAGTTAATTGAGTACACCTTCCTTTAAAATCTATTATGTCAAAGCGCGTGCCTATTATTACTCAAAATGATGATCCACCCGTGACTTTTATATATCATGCTGCTGAATGTGAATTAGTAAGAGGGTTTCGTTTTCCATGGTGTATTAACCTTAATTTTAAGGATAGTACATGTTTAATGCTTCATCTTCGTAATAATCGTATGCATTTGAAATTTGAAATTTGAAATTTGGTACAAAGGTATTTCATTTCAAAATATTTTGTTTTTTTTTGAAAAATTGATATCATTTATTTCACACTAATAAATCTATCAGAGGTGCAAAAATTTTGTAGAATGGCAAACAATCACAAAGCGATCGCGTAATTGTTGTTAATTCAAAGATGGTCTGTCAGAGTTGGATTTTTTTGATATTGATAAGCATGAAGGTACCAGGAATCCAAAACCATTTATGTATCCTGTAAAAGCAATACACAACGTCACCTGTGGCATTATCATCATTGCCTTCACAAACATTTTATCATTCTCATATCTTCATCTTCATGCCATTCATTTGTGATGAAAATGTAAATGATTCCGAGAAAGATATCTATACTCATTGGGTGGAACAGCTCAACGATGAGGTGTATATGCCTACTTAAATAATAATAATAATTATTATTATTATTATTATCCTATAATTCATCTTTGTATCATTATAGACACTTGACGAAATATCAGATGTGAATGATAAAGAGAAATTAAAAATGAAAATTTGGAATAGATTTATAGAAACACAAAGGTTATTAACAACCATTATTACCAGCACAAAAATATAAGCGTCCTTTTTCACTACCCGGCTGACCTAGACTAGTATTTCCTTCACTTTGGTCGATTTCTTTATCACATTCTTTTAATCGCTAGATTTTTCAGGAGATCTTTTCTTCCTCTTTCCTATCTCTCTCAGTTGACTGGCGGTCTTTTTATCTGTTGGCAGTCGCATTTTTTTTCTAGTTCTTCGGGTTTAATATCCTTTATTTCAAACTTATCAGGCTTTTTACCATCTCCTTTTCATATTGATACCATTTTTCACCTCCCATATCTGTGCCAACTTGACAAGTCCTCCATCTTTCACATCACCATTTAGCATTAAACTGCGAGCTTCTTTTTTTAATTCGGGCGAATAAATTTCATATATTTTCACTCTTTTCAAAAATTTCTCACTGTTGCGATTCTTAATAGACAAGTAGTTTCAGATTGTTCTCTTGAAACTTTTCGAATTTAAGAATTTATTCGATGCGATCCTCTATAGTTAAAATAAAGATTATGAAAAAATAAGAAAATAAATTAGATACTTAATATACATAGGTATGTAATCCATCAGAAACGAATTCTTTTTGGCATTAACTTAAGAATTATATTATTTATAATATTTAATTAATTTAATCTTATTTTAGACATAAAATAAAATAATTTTTAATGATAAATTTTAAAATAAATAAACAACAGAATTTATTATTATATATTAAATTTCAATTGATTCAAGATCAATAACAAATAATAAAACTTCAAGACCAGTTGTAAATAAATCAAATAAAATCCATTTTGCTTTTGAATCTTCTGCTGAATGAATATTTCTATTTATACTTCGATTTCAATATTAATTTCATTCTCATATAATTCATCATTAATAGAGTTCACAGATTCATGCAGTGCAAAAAAAAAATGTAAATATGCAATAAAATTTTTTATTTTAAAAAAATTTAACATTTCATTAGAAAGTGATCTACGTCTATCATCTAAATTCTTTTTTTAATTAGAAAACTGCATTCAACTTCAACTCCTAAAATAGGTAACCTTATATAAACTAATCTATGCTTGATAAATTTGGAAGTTCAGCATCTTCATGTCTTCTCTTTCCTTTTTAAATGAGTTGATGAGTTTATATGAGCTTCGATAATAGACTTACGTTTATGATTAATTACATGATTATAAAATCTATAATATAATTTCTTATTTTCTAAACGAAAATGAATTTTAAAAATAAGAATTCTTTGATAATCTTTTCTGATATTAAGACCATTTTGTAAAAAGGATATAGAAATTTTTATTCTTAAAATGGTAAATACATATAATATCACGTGAAAAATGCAAAAAATGATAAAATTGCCTTAAAAGTGCAATGCATGTGATGCAAAATTATAATGTATAAATGCAAAATTATGCAAATGCATGAATTTGTAGGCTCTAACCATTAAACATTTCAATACAACAATTAATATATGCATTCTAGTCTAATTTTGTTATTGCTATTATTCTTTATCAAAATAATCTGATACCTAAAATACTTCAAATTCACTAGTATTTGCCTCTATTTTATTATTTAAGAACTTTATTTTATTAATGGAATTAAATTGTAATATTTTTTTGATTTTTATATATTTTGAAAAACTTTATTTTTGAAGTTCAGCTTGTAATTAACTTATCATTAATACTTTATTATATTTTCTTAATAAAATACTATTAGTAAATTAAAATTATTAAATTAAAATTAAAAATAAAAAAATAGTTACCAATAAACAATTATAATTTTTTAAATGTAAATATTTCATATTAGAAAATAGATGTTTAATTGAAGCTGAATTTACGTAAATTTCATATATTTTATATGCAATTTTTACAAGTTCACTTTTATCTTTTTTTTAAATAAAACTACCAATATTTTAATATATAGACACTTTGCAGTAAAAAAGGAGGAAACTACCAAAAAATTTTTTTTACTTTCTAAATTAAATATTTATTTTTTTAATAAAATAAATTCAGATTTAACATTAACTCAAAACAAATTTTTTTGGTAGTTTTCTTTCTTCTACTATAAAATTTTAATATCACCATTAAATTGCTATAATAAAATATATCATAAAAAGGTTTTTATTTTGATTTATAATCTTCAATCTTATTTAATAAATATTGTGTCAGTTGAAAAAACTATGATTCAAAATAATATTATAACTATTCAGATAAATCAAAAATAAGATTTACATATTTTTACTAAACTTATTAAGATGATATTTAAAAATGTAGCTAAAATGATATTAGAAATAAAGGTTACTTCTATAATTTACATTTTTATTCTAATCATATATGTATTTTTATCCAAAAGTTTCATCAGGATAATATTTAAAAAATTTAACCAAATAGCCAAAACAATATAATACATTATATTGCTATATGCTATCTCTTTGTAACTTATTAAGAGTATTGCAAAATGGAATAAGAAGATTATGAAATTTTTTAAGATTAAATAAGAAGTTTTAATCATTTATAATATTTGTCATATTAAAGAAAATACTAAAAATCAAAAAATATATAAAATTATAATTTTAGCATTTATAGTTAATAAAAGTTATAGACTTTTAAATCTAAAAAATAACTATTTGCATTTCTTTTAATAATTATTGTATTTTTGAATTTAGCAAAACATTTTTTTAGAATAAGTTTATAATGTATAATTATTAATTATATAATTATAATGCTTTAAATATTTTAACAGTTCTTGTAACTTAGTTATAAATAAATTTATAAAATTCTAGTTTTATAATTTTATAGTAGTATATTGCATAAATCAGATTAATCTAAATCTAATTTAAATTTGTTAAATCAGATTTAAATCAAATCAGATATGTTAAATTTAGATTTATATTTAAATCTATTAGAATTATTTTTATTGTTTAAGAAGAATAATTTATTATCGTTTAAAAAAAAATTTTATTATCATTTAAGAAAATGATTTTATTATTATTTAAGAAGAATAATTTCATTATTATTCAAGAAAAATTATTTCATTATCATTTAATTAAAATAATAATTTATTATTCTTTTTAAATGATTTATTATTGTTTAATTAGAATTATTATTATTTAATTAAAATAATTTTATTATTACTTAATTAAAATTTATTTCTTTTCAATAAAAAAGAAATATTTTTAAATTTTTATTAGAATTAAAATTTGTTTTTTTTTAATGAAAAAAAACTTTTCAGATTTCTTGTAAAATTAGATCTAAATTAGATCAGATTTAGATTTTAATTGATTTATTAGATTAAATTTGAGATTTGATTTGTCAAATCTAAATTTAAGATTTAATTTATTAGATCTGATTGTATCTGAATTTAAACTGATCTATCAGATTTAAATTTAGATCAAATCTATAAAAATAAAATAAATTAAATCTGAATTAATCTAATTTAATTTTATAAAATATTACTTTACAGATTATCAGAAATTTACTTTATAGTTCACAAATTGATTAGATATTTTACAAAATTCACTAATTAATATATTCTATATTAACTATGAAAATATCTATAAAGTTTATATAATAATTATTTAGTTTAGATAATTAAACTTTTACAGTTACAAATTATTTTATATCTAAAGTATAATTATTATATATAGCTATATAATTATATAATACTTAATTTTAAGAGCTAATATAGTATGACCAAATATTGATCTTGATGATTACGGATTTATAAATATATGACAAAAATATAGAATATCAAAAATATTAACATATTAAATATGTTTAACATGTTTAATATAATTAATATGTTTAATAATAAGAGAGACTATTCTTGTATCATAAAATTTTAATATTGTTATATAGATCTGACTAATCAAATCATAAAATTTTGATGTTATCATATATTAACCTGCTAATCAAATATTAATTACACAAATTTCTAAATTTAGAACCAGTGATTTTTGGTTACTTTACAGTTAGAATTAATCAAATTAAATTGACTCAAAAATGATTAAGTGTTTCAAAATCATTTATATAATTTATTTTATTTTAATTATTAATAAAAATAATTTTTAAATATAAAAAGAGCTCTAAAAAGGTCAGTTCAAATCAAATCAATCAAGTTATCTAAACTGAGAGGATCAAGTCAGGTCAAACAAAAATCTGATCTGATTTAAATTTTTATTTGACCTGACCTAATCTGATCTGACCTGATCAAATTATAAAACATTATTTTTGAACAATAAAACCTCATTCTTAAATGATAAAATCATCATTTTTGAATGATAAAATTATCATTCTAATGAATTGTTCTAATTAATAATAAAATATCATTCTTGAACGATAAACTCATTGTTCAAAAATGATAAAATTATAGTTCAAGAATAATAAATAATTATTCTTAAATGATAAAACTATCATTCAAGGATAATAAAACTATTATTCAAAAACGATAAAACCATTGTTTTCAGACAATAAAATCATCATTCTCAGATGATAAAATTATTGTTTTTGGATAATAAAATTATAGTTCAAGAATGATAAAACTATCATTTTCAGATGATAATGAATCATTTTAATTGAACAATAAAATATCATTCACAAACGATAAAACCATTATTTACAAACAATAAAATCATTATTTTCAGACATAAGTATTTATATAATTTAATTATATTTAGCAGTATTTTTATATAAAAATATTCTAATTTATTTTATATTTATAAATATTTTAACCATTCTCATTAAATAATCCTTTATTATTTAATAAAAATAATAATATTGATTTTTTTTAAAATTTTCAGTTTAATTTAAATTTTTTTAGTTTATATTAGAAATTAAAATGAAAATTTTAAATTAATTTTATATAATTTGAACTAAATAATATTCTTTTCTACTTTATTCAAATTAAAAACTCATCTAAATCAATTTTTATTTTTTATAATAAATGAATCAAATGATTAATTAAAATTTCAGATAAAGGGCTAAAATTAAATTCAGTTTGAAGTCTTTAAATAATCACATAAATTTTTGA